TAATAGATAGAAGGCTCACCTATCAAGGGAAGCTATTCCTATGAACGTTCTAAATGATCTACTAGGACTTCTTTCAAATAATAAATCTAACTTTACTAATTTAACAGATCTTAATTGCTAAAAAAAGACATCCTGTTTCGTATTGCAGAGGGCCAGCAAACAGTGGGAAACTCTCGATGAGCTGTATTGACCCAACAGCTGCCTCACTGGGGTCCGATATACCAACAACATGATGATGGGGCAGCACTAAGTAATCTTCATTCACTCGTGGGTCAGGTCACCAGGAATTGGAGCCACTTGATGGCAATTAACAATAGATCTTGTAGTCAATTAATTAACCAGGCTCATTCCATGGGGGCCAATTATGTATCAGATAAGAGTCTTGAATTTACAACTCTGAGATCTTTAGGACAAATGTTTTCCATAATCCATAGTCAGTAATTTAATAGTGTACACTTTGTTACACAAGCCAACATAAATGCAAATGTAAAACAAATCTCTGTATTTGCATTTTTGTTTGCTTCATCTTTTTTGTTTGTTTTGCGGGGGTGGGGGTGGGGCGCTCACAGCTCTTTGGAGAGTGATCATTTCCAAAGTGTGTCTACTTTGATGGTTACTGGTAAGATAAAAATATAAAAAAATATTGTGTTGTCAGCAGGACTTACTTGAAAAAGAGCCCACCTGCCCTGGTAGGGGCTTCACCAACAGCCTGAAAGAGAGGGGCCCCTGCTGGGAACCCTTTTTCCTCTTTAGGATAAGGAGGGAAAAGGAGGGAAAGGCACGGGAAGCTGTGGAAATGAGGCCTTGCCTCTGTGCTCTCGTCACTCCCACCTGGGAGCTGTGGGGATGTTGGTTGGGCACCTGGGGGCACACTTGCAGCGGCCTCACCAAGGCCTCTGCTGCCTTCGGGTAACAGCATGGGTCAGGACAGAAGAAGTTGGCTGAACATGAAGGTTAACCTTCAGGCCACGTGTTCTCCCAGAAATTAGGGTGTCCCACGTCTTGATGGCGCTGCCCCCTGTGCTCATGTCCTGAGAAACCTGGTTAGAGAATGCCCCTCATGAAGTTTCAACACGATGCACCTTTACATTTTTCCGTGTGTGTGTGTGTGTGTGTGTGTGTGTGTGTGTGTGTTGCACTAATTCTGAACTGAACTTCTGGCACAATAAAAAATATTTTTGACTTTTGATTAAGAAATGTAAGAATATGTCAACCTAGAAAATATTGCAACTCAGGTCCCTTGAGCTGAGACATATGCATTTAGTAACCTAACTTATAGAATCAGAAGATGCACTTGAGGGGAGATTTTTAGATACAATAAATATACATATTTTCATCATGATTCAAAAAGTGTACATTGTGCTTTTTTTCTTTCCCATGTTCCCCAGCAATGTATTAGGTGGGTGATGACCTTTATTTGATAACATATATTCTCCTTGGAATATGATAACATTGCACTCCATTCCTGACTTTCCGAAACATACAATTGGATACAAACTCGTTTTTATTAAATCATCCAGTGGAAGCCTATGGAGCATGAGCACACGACACAACAGCAGTCAAATGGACTCAGTCTGAAGTTGCCCACCATCGAGAGTGGCCATTGCATGGAAAACCAATGACTAACTCTGTGAGCTTCCCTCTGAGGGGGACTCCTGGGGCCGGAGCGTGACGTGGAGACAAATGAATCCACACGTGACATTTACAAGTGGAAGTGTGACCTCGTCCAGCACAGTTCAGACCGTCTTCTGACATGGAAACAGAGCACTCTAGAAAGGTTTGGCTTGTGGGTCCTGAGAAGGTTCTCTCTGGGCTCAGCTCTGCTCCCTGTCCCACTGGCCACAGTGTTATAATGCCGCCAAACCTGTATCACCTGCTAAGCGTGACACACCTGTCCTCGGCTGTCGTCCTTTATTATAGTGGTTCTCAACCTGTGGGTTGCGAACCCTTTGGGGGTCGAACGGCCCTTTCACAGGGGTTGACTGATTCATAACAGTAGCAATGTTACAGTTATGAAGTCGCAACGAGAATAATGTTATGGTGGGGGGGGTCACAACGTGAGGAACTGTATTAAAGGGTCACGGCCTTAGGAAGGTGGAGAAGCACTGCTTCCTTGGAAGGTAAGCACACTTTGGGGAAGGTAACACACTAAGCTTCAGCTAGTCTCACTCTAGTCGGAAAGCACTAGAAAACGACAGTTTTGACCATCAGGTGGGAGCAGTACATACAAGGAGTAGGAAAGCGAGATTAGAGTAAACATGAAGGCTAACTTTGCATCCTGGGATATTGTTTTCTAAATATGGCACTTTAAACCAACAGCGAATGCCTTGGCGCCATGGCTAAAAGGATGGGAACTTTGAGATACTTCGAAACTCACAGAGAACAGTGTAATTCTTTAACATAAACAATCCCCTCTTGCTTGCCAGGCACTTTTGAAAGATAAAAAGCTTCTGGAGAAATTACTCTGAAACCATGGGCACCTTCTACCCCCCACATCAGTCATATGGGGGTACACCTCCACTTGGCTTATAAGTCCAAGTTCAAAAATGGCCAAACCAAACTCTTCCTTTCCTGACTAGTAGAGGAATATGAATTTAGATGTCAATTTTCACAATTTAGAGCTTGTAACATTTCCTTCAAAATGATATTTGAATGTTTCTTCATCTTTCTGGCAAATATAAAATAGCTACCCCCAGAGGAAAGCATGACAATATTTATAGTAGGAGATAAAATATTATGCGATTTTGTTAAGATCCTCTGCTTGCTCATTCACAAGGCCACGGCGTCTTATTCGGCTGCCACAGCAGATCGATGTCGTGGGGAGAAAATTTTCCTTGACTCAATGATGAGACAATATTGGAAAGCAATTTATTAAAGTGCCTGCTATCTGTCACTGGAATCTGGAACGACAATTCAGTGAAAATAAGTATTCATTCTGGATTTCTGTTTTGTTTTCCTTCTCACAAAACCCTTCAGTTCCAATACCTCTTCAGTAAATGGTTAAGCGCAGTTTGCCTTCTGTCTTTTGAGCAGCAAGCCCAGGAACGAGAAGGCACCGCCAGCAACAGCTGTCACGATCTCAAAGGTGCTTATTGCCCGGGTGGCCTAGGAGGAAACAAGAGACGAAAGACAGATCTTATTCTAAAGGCGTCTCTCGGCAGGCTCCAAGTTTGTTTCTAAAACCAGAGACCCTTTTCATGCACAGCAATTTAACATTTCAGTGCAAAATTCAAATTATTTATGACTAAAGATCAAACAAATACATGTGACTATTTTTATAATTATGCTAAATATATGGATACATATAGCAGATGCATAGAGCATTTAGTACCGGTCTGCTTATAAACCCATTATGGAAGGATAGTTCCCATTAGTCACTGTGGTAGCTAGATTTATGTAAACATGAAGATGTATGAAAGTATAGAGGTGGAATCCCACCTGTCAATCGGGTCACAGGCTGATGAAGCCTCCTAGGGAGCGTGGCCCTCTTATAAGGGAGAAACTGGGAGCTTCTCTCCCTCCCTCTCTCTCTGCCCCTTCTCCTTCCTGCTTGCTGGGAATCTGCCACCTCCAGGGATAGGCCCAGCCATCCGACCCAGAGAGTTGTCCACACCTGCCATATTTCCACTATCTTTGGATCCACATGACTCTGTTCTCATGGGCCTCTGATCTGTGCATCCTGCTTCCTCCTCCTTCCTATCGGCCTGCAGCTACATGAGTCTGAAGAGAGCCCCATACATTTGAGTTAGGCTGTGTTGGGACGCCTTCTTGATCTAAAATTACTTCTTGATATAAAGTTCTTCCTTTTATAGATATATAATTTTGTTGGGGGCTTGTATTAGTCTAGGTACTTTGGAGAAACAAATCCACGGCGACTCATGTATAAGAGAGAGTTTTATGTAAAGAAAAGGTGCATCACGAAAACATCCCAACCCAATGCTGCCCAAGCCCACAAGTCCAACATTAACCCATTAACCCAACACCAGTCCACAAAGTCCTCCACCTCACAAAACAGAGGCAATGATGCCGACTGCAGGAGGAAAGCTGAGTCCGTGAACGTGTAAGCATCTCAGCACTGGCAGGGGTCTCCACACGGCTGCTCCAGCACCCAGGGCTGCATCGGGATAGATCAATGCGGCTTCTCCTTGGGGATGTCTTGTAGGAAATCCATCTTGCAAGCTGAAGCAGGTAACTGCTAAGGCAGCTGCACCCGATACAACCATCACAAAACAAGAGACCCAAGAACTCGAAAGTCGAGGCTTCACCACCCATTTATCCCTCCGCCTTTCAACCAGCACCACATGTGATTATCGGCTAGGTTGGCACAATTAAACTAACTCAGGGCTCTTCCAGCTCGTATAACAATCCATACATCAATTGTATCAAGCACCCTTGTAAATATGTTGCCACCATCATTTTCTTTCTACTTGAGCTCCTGGTATCAGCTCCTTTTTTTTTTCTGCCTCCCCCACCTTCCAACCCTTGTGAACCCTTGATAAATTATATAATTATTATATTCATATCTTATACCGTTTGCTGTCCCCCTTCACCCCTGTTTCTCTTATTCTGTTATAAAGTTCTTTCTTATACATCTATAAATATCACTGGTTTTGTTTCTCTAGGCAACTCAGCTTAACATAATCATCATGGCGCATCTGTGGAAGTGGTGTAGCATTGCTCACCGGTGTTTTACAAACTTGAGCTTTAGGGGGGAAATATGTCACTTGCCCGAGGCCATTTCAGGATAGGAAGGGTCCTAGGAGCCACGTGTTTTCTTGCTTCCTACTCCTATGCCTAGCCCTAAACACACACCTTGTTTTGGTTGGGTCTATATCAAGATGAATACCTTGGTATAAATATATATATATATCTTTTGGCTAATGTAAAGAAGGTTTGTGTGAATTATTCATAAAATAATTCCAGGATGTGATCTGGACTAAATATATCTAAAGACGGATGCTAATTATCATATCAAAAGCTAATTTCTCATGCAGGCAAACTGAAACATACCACTCACAAGCTCAGTGTGCATCGTGGGGTACAGGCACGGACAGCTTTAAAGGTACGCATCATCACCGGGATGATGGGGGTCCATGCATAGTCACGGTTTTCACAGCACTCAGCTGATAATGCCTTCCTTCTGCATGGATTTAAGTGCAATTTTAAGACTCGAAGGTCACATCAGATACTTCAGAGTCATAGTGCATTCCAAAGTAATACTAATAATAAATTTGTTCTCTCATATTTAAACTTTAGGCCTTCAAATAAAGCAATCATCTCTCCCAAATGACTCTGGGGATCAGCCCAAGAGCTAGAAAGCCTGACCCAGCTCACCAGTTTCTGCCATGGTGCCTGCTATCTTCACATCGCAGCATTATAACTGTTGGGACCATGGCCAGAGAAGAGACTAGCGGTAACAGTGTCAGCCAACAGCAGGAATTCACTCACTCCGGAGGGGCATCCTGTGGTCTGCATGGAAGTAGGTGACTTCCTGCCCCAGTTACCAGGCAGAATGGCACTGGTAAACAACTTGGTGCTGAAAGATCCTACTTTTGCGTATAACTTTCATCTTTTGTGCGCGTGTGTGTGATCTACCTACCTACCTCTCGTGTTAAATTAGTGACTACCTAAATAAGTTCCAGAGCAGAGCTAACCATAAGGTCTGTGAGGAACACAAAGGGGCCAGAGGATCTAAGACACAGGACAAACCCCAATGAACACAGAAGCAGTCATCAGACAGGACTACGGATTGTAAGCAGGCCCGGTCCCTGCACAACTGCAGGAAGATGCTGAGGTCCCGAGAAGGTCTTTTTGCAAAAAAAGGGGGCAAAAAAAAAAAGGGGGGGGGGGTGGAGAAGAAGACATGGTTGATATCTTTAAGGAAAATGCCCTGGGAAACTAGCAGGACCCTGAGAACAGAGAAGCCCCAGCTCGGTGCAGGCCTACTTTGGTAAAATTCATCCACTAGAAGCCCAAAATGGCAAAATCGCATAACTCAAAAAGCCCAGGAAGGAGAAAGAGAACTTAATCCCAAACCAAATTTCTGCGGGACTCCAGGCGCCATTATAATCAGGCCACTTTCAGCAGCTCATGCAGTCTCTCAAATCCCAAAATGCTCGTGCCTTTCTAGTTGTATCCCAAATGGCAAAATCCCGTGTAATTTGGACAATCCCTTGGAGTTGCATGAAATGGGGTCTGACCCACAAGATTAAAACGTCCCAGGATGCTGCTGGTGAAGCAGCATGAGGAAGAGCTTCTACTTTGCAGCTTACTTAGGCTGAGAAGACCTGCAAATACCACACTGCACACTTCCTCCTGTACAAGGACGCCTATCTCCGGAGCTGCACGTGCCCAGTGCAACGTTAGCAAAGCTGGAGCGGACGAGCCCCGGCATCAGTGTGACAGGCACACAGAGGAGGGCAGGCATTTATCAAAACGCCTTTGCCTCGAGCGTCTAAGGCCACAGTGGCAGGGCACATGCACGCTCAGCTAGTCAGGGTTAAGTGAGGACACTGCCATCTTCTACAGCGAGATGCATTCTATATTAGCTATTTAGGGGATGGCTGTCACAAACAGTGGTTTTAGAAAGTGTGGAAAAGTACAAAAATAAAAAGAAAGTCGTTGCCCAACCTTCCACCCGTATGAACTTTCTTGTGCATTTACATTTCCGCCCAGTGAAGAAAACATATCGCCATTTCCCAAGAAAAGTTTGCTGAGGCCGAGGCGCCTAAGGCTGAAAACACTTGCCACCAGGTCCATCCCACGTCATAGGAGCCCCAGGTGTGCGGGAGTAGAACTGTACTTCAAAGCTTTCCATCTTCACCACACGCTGACCCGGAGTCTCAAAATCTCTCATCGTTTGAGAGTGTTTCTCACACTGAGTGATGCTGCCCCTTGGGGGAAGTTGGAACAATCCAGGGGCTGCTGCAAAAGCAGGTCACTACAGTTATGGGCTATATAATACACAGTTTTTCACGCTAAGGGGGACAGGGGAGAGTGCTGAGTAATTGTGTTTTTTTCTGAAAAGTAGGTGGTAGGACAAATATGTTGGGGAATATAGACTCTAAAACAACCGTAAGAACAAAAACAAAACAAAAATAAATAAAACAACGTGATGGGACTCTGGTGTTCAGCAGTGGGTCAAAATCACTCAGCTAATGGATGAAGACCGGGTTCTAGCACAGATCTACAGGAGGCCAAAGCTTGAGTAAACCTTCAAGACCATCAATGCACCATCTTTATCAGAACCTGCTGGGACCAGTTTTACTGTTTGTGGAGGAAGAATTCATTTTTCATGGATCAGAAGTCTACTAATTTTCAGCTACACCATGAGATTTCCATGCAAAGATGAACAGGAGTTAGTGTGTGCCTCCGGTGGTAAACTCGATTCTGACTCAATTTACTGTTCCATGTGAATAGAGTGTTCACTGCCTTAATGTGTTGCCTCACATAAATGAATTCCCTATTACATTATTCCTTAATGATAACAAATGTATCCTTTCAATTTGTTGTGTGTCCCATTTCCAAAGCTTTCATGAGAAGAAGTATAACCTCGTGCCTTGTAAGTTAATAAAACTGATTTGCCATTTCAAGATAATGGAAGACGAAAAATTTGAGATGTTAAAATATTTATTAATATGTTATAGTATAGTTCTTTGAATTTTCAAAGTATCCTCTTTTTTCCCTTTTTTTCTTTTTTCCAGTTCTCATAGGTAACAACTCTGGAGGTTAAAAATCTATTAAATTCTTATTTGGAGGATTTAGGATGAAAAAGACTTCTTTAAAAAGTCTTACATAATCATTTTCATAGCATCCCAGTAAGTAAGTCGCTGGGAAAAACATCAACAGTGTAACTGGATTGGTGGGGCTAACCCAAAGACTGAACCAAGCCACTGCCAAGTGGGCTCTGATTCATAAAGACCCTATAGGACGGAACACAACTCCTGGAGCTTCCAAGGGTGCACATTTTCACAGGAGTAGACAGTCACATCTTTGTCCCACAGAGAAGCTGGTGGGTTCAAACCAACGTCTTTTCAGCTAGCAGTCAAGCACTTGATCACTGAGCCCCACGGGTTTCCCAGATAGGAAAAAGAGCAGTCAATCGAGCATGCTGTTCACTTAGGAAGTTTCTTTTGTCTCCAAGAGAAAGACTCACCTGCTCTGAACATCCTTCTCCATAGCGAAGCAAAGTCACAAAATGTTCACAGTTGTTGTCAAAAATGTCATATGCTACCTCATGTCCAATAACAAATTCTGAGCGCTGCATCACTTCTTCCGTGGGGAGAGGGGGGTATATCTCATCGTATTTATTGTTTATTCTATATGTGTCTTTTCCCACGACATCCTTCAGGGGTTGCATCTTCACCAAGGCCTTTCTGCTGAATATAGACTTGGCACTTGTAAATGATGCAGGAATGCCATTGTCTATGAGGAAAATTCTGGTTAGTAAGGCACAGTGATCCACTCCAGTGAACTCCAGTGTCATTGTAAATAGGCTGGGAGTGTTGGGATGTCTAAACCCAGCTGTTCCTAATATTTCATTAAATGAGAAGCCACTGGTCTCTCAACCTCACACACTCATTCTATACCTTATCATAGCACTTACTCAATGCTGCATAAATAAGAATGTAAGAACAACTTTGAAAATGTATGAACTCATCATAAAATACAATGAGTGAGAACTAATTACTAATAACTGACATGATCACTAGAGATCTTGGTATAGTACTCTAAAATAAGACCAACCCATGGGACAGAGTTGATTTCACACGGTAACAAGTTGTTCCAGTAGCACTGTACTCGGGGGTTTTCTACGGCTGTAAATGTACAGAAGTAGATCACCACACCTTTCTGTAGGGTGTGGTGATCTACTTCTGGGTGGATTTGAAATTTTGACCATTCAGTTAATAGCCAAGCACAAACCAATCTGAGTACTGGCCACTTTTTTGATAAAGCAATCTCTTTTCAGCATTCAAGTGCTTATAAACTAGACTAGGACTTAGCAATAGTGTATTATGCTAAGCAGGCTCCTCCTGGTGCCTAAGCTGCATTCTCATATGCACCTCCACCTCCACTTTTTACACATGTTTTTTCAACCAGGCTGCTGCCTTAGCTCCTGATTTCTTGCTTGGAAACTGGAATGATATCCTGTCTTTCAAAAAACCACTTGGGGTCAGGCTAGGCAGTTAATTTCTCTTGTCAGTTCCTTTCCCTAAGAAATTAAATCTTGGCTCTGAACTCTAATCCAATAGGCACTGTCCACCGGATGGCCCTATGTTGTACCCTACCCACCTTTTAATACTGCCCCAGCCCCACTCCTCCACCTTAGCTACTGTTATTGGTGAACATTTGCCTGGACTACCAGGAATTCCTGGACCCTGGCCAACCACATCACAATTGTTCTGCTTATCCATATTCAGGTGACTCATGAGAAAGAGTCTCTGGATACCCGTTGTTTAAAACATTCCCTTTCAATCATTAATCAACTCCTTTGCACTCTTCTATCTCCTCCAAGTTTTTCCAGGCAAAGCCCTACACCATGAAAGTGCTAATACATTGCATGTGCTTCTGGGCACGTATATCCGAGTTAGGACTATGACACTTTGCTGCTGGCACTGTCATTGCTGTTTAACTTGTTTGGTGGAGCCCAATGCCATCCTTTGACAGATAAGGAAAGTAAGTCTCAGAGAGGGAAATTGGCTTGCAAAAGATCATAGAAAATGATACCAACATAAGCAGGGATACAATCTTGATCTACAGGATCAAAGCTCAGGGCTTCAGCCACATTCATGTGGAGTTTAAGACACAGGAAAACAAGGATACAGCACCAAATGCCATAGTATTTTCCAGATGGGAAAGCTACAGAGATAATATCATTCATATATATAGTGCTAATCACTAGACCTTCCAGAGTCAGTTCTGATTGGCAAATGCCATTTTATTTGTCCTTGCCACTTAAAATATCTCCAGAACCAGAATGAATGCTCTGAAAATATTGCAAAAGTAATTTCATTGAAAGTGCTCATAAGTTCCCAAGACAGTAAATCTTAGACCCATAAATACTTCTCCTGAAAGATATCTTCAGGGGAGAAAAATACCTTAGGTTACATATTATTTGTATATGTTTCCCCTAGTAAATAAATTAAATTGTGACAATCCCTAAATATTTAAATAATATAAGTATAAACATATATGTGGAAAATTAAATCACTAATCACCCAACTATTCAGAAATAATGATCATTATTTTTAAAGTTTTTGTTATGTTTTTATCAACACATGTGGTAGGTTTGTATATATATGCATATGAAAAGGGGGTGAGTTAGTTAATTGTGCCAGCCTGGCCGATAATCACATGTGGGGCTAATTGAAAGGCGGAGGGATAAATGGGTGGTGAAG